TACACACACTTTTTTTAATGGCAGATCTCAGGAAAACTTTATAACTTGAATATATATCTCTGAATTTTCTTTTATTATCAAAGTATATCCTCTAGGAGAGGAAATTCAGAGATCTTAGCTTTTTGGAGTGTGGTATATGAAAGCTCTTGGCATGAAAGACTTCACACCAGAATCTTCCTCTATTAGAAAAAAACTGGGGAAACCTTTTCATAGTTTCAGATCCTACATCATTTAAGGGTAAACAGCTACTAGAAATGCATGTGTACTCACAGCAGAATCTTGTGGCTATATCTGTATTACGGATAATTACAAATATGAATAATATTAAATGTCAGTGAATGGATTCATTGTTGGTACGTTGTTAAAGCTTGATAGTATTTCTCTATAGTTTAATAAAGCAATTAGGCTTTGATGTCAGTCTGATGAGCTAAACAAGAGTAGCTGGGCCTATAAAATAATAATTAAATGATCACTGTCTTGTTCTGCTTCCCATTGTAGTGAGAGTCCTCCCTATGGCTTTTGTGGGAAGTTGGTTGGATTCTTTGAGCTAGCCAGGGAAGCTAACAAGAACAGGAACATCTCTAGCTGTGAGAAATTACTTGTTCTGGAAAACAACTATAGTGTGTATTTGGTATTCATCTATTACAGACTTTGTTTAGGTTACTCCAACTGTTAGTGGTCTCAAAATTTGTTGAAAATATTAATGGCCAATGAAAATGTTTTTTTCCTAAGGTGTGAACTTGTGCTTTCATGACACTGTTTCTAAACAGAGCTCCCACAAAATGTGTTTTGTAATGCTGATCAAAGTACAGTGAAACAAATACTGTTTTACTATGTCAGCATGAAAAATGTTCTCTCTGCTATATGGCAATAGGTTGCATTCATCCAGTATGATGATACTGCGGAGGAGCAGCATAGTAGCTTCTGTGTTTAAGGTAATGAGTAGCTTACATCAAAAGGTGCTGGTATGACCATGTTTTGAAGTTTGTCAGTATATTGCGGTAGTTAGTTTGGTTTTTTTTATTGCAGAACCTTGCAGTCTAAGGGTTAAAATCAGTGTTATCACTTTCTTAAGCTCTGATGAAGCTTGCAGGAGGATTTGAAAATGCTTTGAAATGTAGCATTTCTTAGCATTCTTATGTAAGACACTGCAAGCTGTAATTGGTTTGTAAGTGGGGAAATGTGCACCCAGCTCCTGGGCATTTCTTCTTCAGTTCACCTAAAACCTTAATGACAGTTTTTAAAAATACAGTCTCTTAAACAGATCTGCTCTCCTAGGCTCCTAAAAATTATGCATGACTACAGAATTTCTGTCTGTAACTTAAATAGGTGATGGAAATAATCTGGGGGGGACTCTTAAGACTACATGACAGTGCCCTTAAAACAAACAAGTGTTTCTCTTACACAGTAAAGCTGAGATTCTCTGGGTGTGTCTGGCTCTGTCACTGCCCCTTTCTGCTTCTTACTCCCCATAGTGCAGAAAGCAATGCTTTAGTTTATATGACTGTCACTGGTGGAGATATTTGCTGATCTCTCTGAAAGTTAAATTGAACCCTAGATTTGATTTGCCTACTGTGGGAGGTGGAGGGGTGAAGGTGCAGGGATTGTGAATTAGGATAGTTACACTTTAATAGACTCTTGAACTATGACACTGAGAAAGTTGCATGACTGAAGCAAGGGAGAGAAGAGGTGATAGGCATTCAGGGTTAAGTAATCACAGATTTCTGACCCAGGTGAGAGCAGTGAGTTTAACTGCTTATTTGCTTTATCTAAAACTTTCTAATGTGTTGCTGTTAGGAATTAGTCTGTGCTATGTACTAGCACTGACCTTGTGAAGAAATACCAGTATTATATTGGGAATGTCCTAGGAATAAGCTAGACTAGCTTAATTTATCAGCAAAAGCTTTTTTTCATTTCCATTGATCCTCAACTTTGCAGAAACACCTAAGTTATTTGTGTCAGCAGAATTTCAGTTTGGGAGTTATCTGTATATTCTTGTGAGCTTCCAGTTCCAGGATCTATCCAGAGGCTCTTCATTAAAGCAGAAATTCTGATAGTAAGCTTTGTTCACCATGCAAAAGTGTGAACAAAAGCCCTGTATAAATAAAATTTGAGAATCATGGATAATGCTCAGATTCTGGTAGCAAAGTCATTTCTTGCCCTTTGAGACATTATAGTTGCTCCCTTTCATTATGGGCAGTGAAGTCTTTTCATTAAGTACTTGTATTATGTGCTAGTTGCTTGCAGAGGGTTTTCAAGTTTGCATCTTTAAGCAAAGGTACCATATAAAAGAAAAGTGTTTCACTTTGAAGTACCTGTGTATGTGTAGTAGGTTACTAATAATATCTGCTGGATGGCTTCAGTGAGGAACTCAGATTCTCTCTACCTTAGTCTTGCTGATGTGAGGAGAAAAAAATACTATCAGTTGTCCAGCTATGTTAGCAGAGGTCAGGGTGAGTTTGTCCCCTTCAGGTGATATATGATAGTCACTGAGAGGATTGATCACAGTCACTGTGGTGACACTAATATTGTGGTTTGTAGACAGAGGGGTCAGTTACTAATTAGACCAAAAGCTTCAGTGGAGCTGTCCATCTAGCTAGGTGATTGCTTTGTGGTGGCATAAAGGAGGGACTTGGGGACAAATTAGTGTATGATAATTCTGTAGTCAGAATCCTGCAGGTAGTTTGTTGAAGTACTCTGTGTAATGGCATTACAGTATATGCAGTTGTACTGGTAGATATCCACTTGTTTGGCTGGTTGGTGAATTTTTGGGGTAAGCAGTATAAGCCACGTGATTGTGACAGCTTGCTGAAGTAACTAGTGTCTTATCTACTTGTATGAGTAGGGTTTGGGTTCATTGCAGTGCATGAGTGTACATGCTACCAGTGCTTTATGGGTAGTAGCCTTTGGTGCCTGCTGCTACTTGTTCATATCTTGCTTAAGCATGTTTTCCAAAGAGTTTTGCCTTCTTCTCTTGCTGAAGGTGCTACATACATTTTTCTACTTTGGGGAGTGCAATTCTTTAGTATGATATTAAAAACCCAAAACAAACCCCACATTGCTGAAGCAATTCTTTGAAGTCTTAGCTGTGGCAATGTGTGGGAAAGCCTGTGAGACCCAAGTTCAGCTTCTTAAATGCCCTGTACGTTTCAAGGCACTGAACTTGAGTAATCCCTCAAATTTTGTCCAGCCCTTTCCCTGAATACTTATCAGGATTGATTCAAGGGCAGGATTTTCGTGAGTGTGCCATATTTGCACCTCTGCTTGCGTAATCTCTACTCTACATGCACTTTTTTAACCTTGTTTGGCTCAACTGCTGTGCCTAATCTCTCTATCAGTTGCTTAATTTTGCTTTTGCTTAGTCATGGTGGTGATCCCTTACCCTTCCAGTTGTGGTATATTGTGGCCCTTTAAAAAAAGTGTTGGGTTGGTTTGGTCTGGTTTTTTGGTTGGTGTGGTTTCTTTTATTTGGTGGTCTTTTTTTCCCCTAACAAAAGCAGGTTTTCTGGCCTGTTGAAATAAATGTCTGCCTTTAACGCAAAGATTCAAGTTTTGAAGTTCTGATACTGTTGGGAACTGGTAGTAATAGTGTCTTCCTGGTCTGTAGGAGCAAGTCTTACTTTTGTTGGAAGAGAAGGATTCATAGGAGATTAATTAATACAGTGGGCTTGAAGTAAATACTAACCTGAATTAACTAGACCAGCAGAAATGTTTATGCCATTTCTTTCATCTACTGTCTAAGCATAGCCTTTCTGTTCAGCTATCCTCCAGGCAAGATGACCCTAAATATCAGAAATTTACTGTATTTTCATCATTTTAGATCCTGTAGTCAGAAGCATTACAAATGGAATTGAGGCTCCAAAACCTTATTTCCTGTCACTGGTAGCGTGTTGGAACTTATTTCATGGTTGCCTTAATCCAAGGCAGTAGTAATAAAGTGTTTTCAACTTGCATATCTAATCATTCCTGGTGTTTAGATAGTTGTTTCCTACTTAAAAGTTGAGCAGTGAATTTTTATGGCATGTTACTTATCTCTTTTATGAATGAGTAACTTGAAGCTGAGAAAACTCACTGAACTAGATGATGTGATATACCTTGCAGTATTAAGACACAGTTACTTGATGGATCAAAATGTGCAACTGTGTGCAATCCCAAAAGTGCATATTCTTATCCCAGGGAAGAATAAAAGTCAATGGAGAGCAGGGATTTAGGTTAAGGGAATGGTGATAAGTTGAGGTATTAGGAGATACTAGGAGACAACTTCTAAACCTCAAGGATTTTATCAGCAATGTCGTTTTGGGATTCCATAGTCTGCTAAAACCAAATTGCTATTCTAGTGTCTTGTATGAGCTTTCGGTTGTGCTTAGGCAGTTCCAAAGTAGCTGGCTTACTAGATAATCATATAATAATATCTTTTGGAAAGGACTCTTGCGGGTTATCTGGTCCAACCCCCAGATCCCACTAGGATTAACTTGAAGGTCAGGTTCCTTAGTGCCTTGTCTAGACAACCTCAAGGGATGGAGATTTTGCATACTCCCTTGCCAACTTGTTTCAGTGCTTGATTATTATTCTTGTTAATAGCATTTTTTGTTGTATCTACCTGGGATGTTCTTGCTACAACTTACACCTTTTGGCTTTTATCCTTTTGCTGTGTGAAGTGTTGCTTGCGTGTCTTGCGGAACTGAGAACGTGGAATATAACTTTAGATAACAGTTGGGCTATTAAAAGACCAACTGATTCCTGAAATGTTCTGAGTGCTTTTCTTGCTGGGGGCAATGCCTCTTACTGATCGTCATTGATGGAGCAGAGACTTAGCTTCCTTGGTTTTGGCTTTAGAGAATACATAAAGCCCTCTAGGTATTCAGAGAGGCTTATGTTTGCTCTAAGAAGTCTAGCAGCTGATTTTGCAAGGACTCTTTTAATTTTAAAAATGAAGAATTTAAATTTTTATAATGTGGAATGGTTTTCAGTAACAAATTCAAACTCATTAAAAATTACAGCACCCAGGTGGTGAAGAGGTCCTCAGGGAGCAAGCTGGAGGAGATGCTACTGAGAACTTTGAAGATGTTGGCCATTCCACAGATGCAAGGACAATGTCAGAAACCTTTATTGTTGGGGAACTTCATCCGGTGAGTATGTGAGAGTACCAGCACTTGCTGTATAGTATAGTGGTTTTGTCTGATTATTTATGTGGTAATTTACTTCTACTTCAAAATAAAGGAGAGCTGCTAGTTTGGTTGGATGCCAACCCTGCAGCTGTTTGTGGATGGACCTGGACTAGAGACAGGTTCCCCCAATGTGAAGGGATTTGATTAGTGTAGCATAAGGGTGGTCACATCTCAAAATCTGCTGCTTTGAAATATATTACAGCTTAGTTTTTGAATAAACTGAATATGCAATCATGTCACTTCTGGTATACTCTGTGAGCTTTATGAAACTATAACCCTTGAAGATGGTATGTCAGAATGTCTAGACCTTTTCTTATGTCAGTATGTGGAGTGACTACGAACATCTGCTTTCATTCTTTCATCATTGTAAAATAAATAAATATATATATATAGGTATATGCTAGGTTTCCATCTGAATCTAAAACTACAATCCTTACTCTTTGTATTTTTGTAGCCATTTAGAAAACTGCTACTATAAGCATCTTCTAGTTTGATGCTCTGTCTTCCCCCTCTCTGGCTCCTGCTGTTTTGTGCTGTATCAGTGTTCCCTACTTGTAGTTGTGAGGGTTGTTTATGACCAGTCCCCACTGGATCATCTGTTACTTCCGCTTTCCTATACTCTTCTTACCATTTCCTGTACTTTTAACAAGCACCTTTCTCCTGCCTCAAGCTTGGAATGCTTTATTTCTAGCTACACAGCTGCTGCCTTGGCTTCCTGCAGATAGGCCTTATTTAAGCTCTCCTGCATCTTAGTTGAAAACCACTTGTAAGAGGTTTAGGCAGCTAGTGTGCTCATCTGCTCTAGTCTACTGCCCATCCCTGCCTCTTCTCCTTTCCTCTTTTATCTGTTCTGTATATCTTTTGTCTTGCATTCAGGAAAATTTTGCATTGTCTTGAGTAGCATATTTCACAGTAAGAGTCCTGATCTTGTATCTGTTTTGAGTCCTCTTAATAAGTATTAACAGTATATCTTCTCCTAATACAAAATAATTAAGCTCTGATGCACACTTGTAACCTTGCAGACTTGTCATCTATTTCAGATGGCAGTTGACGCCATAAAGTTGTTCTTAATCTGGCTGCCAGTCCAGTTCTTTACTTGTCTGAGTGCCTGTTTTCATTTGATAGGAAGCAGACAGCTTGACAGCACTGTATTTGCACATTAAACTATCAAGATTATATACTGTTGGGCTTTTTGTAATGCATGTGCATATTTCAAGTAAAATTTAATGAGTTTATGAAAGTTCCACAGAATGTGGGACCTTTGTACTGGACATTGGACCAGAACTGGTTAGACGACTTTGCCTGATAACGAGTAGACAAGGTACAAGTAAACTAGTATGATTGTAATCTGTGTATAGGCTCGGGTTATGTGTACTGTTTGTAGACAAAGGAAATGTGAAAACACAGGCACAAGAAGTAATGAAATATGTTGGAGACTCAGGTTTCACTTCTTCACTGTATACTGGGAAGTATTATTTAAGGAAGAGATGTTTATGGTAGCTCAAAATCATACACTGACATCTGTTTTGCAAGTGTGTTTCTTAGGTAAAAATAGGTACACGTTAACAGAATAGAACTGCAAACTGAATTTAGTGATAGTTGTTATTTGAATGCTTTGGGTTTTGTCTAAATTGCTTTTTGTACTTGTTTTCTTGCAGGACGATAGATGGAAGCTTCAGAAACCAACAGTAAGTGTGTTTCTTGAGATGCCATGTTGTTTCCTTTAGGCATTAAGTACATCTGCAGAGGCAAAAATAATTCAGCTTGATTTAATTGTAGTGTTTCAGGTCATAAATATTTTCAACTTGTTGATCTGTCTTAAATTTATTCTTCCTGTTAGCTATTCTTTATTTTTAAATTTGCATGGTTTTGAACCAAGAGATTACTAAGTGTGATGGCATTAAACTATAGCAAAAAGGTGAGTCTAGATTTGGTCAATGGCTCTCTAGTATTCCGCTTAAGAAAAAAAAAAGTTTAGAGACAGAGTGGATTAAACTAATAAGTGTTTGTGGGGAAATAATTGGTGCTTAACAATATATTGGTAACACTAGTAGATTTAGAATGTAGAGGAAATTGAGAAGTATTATAGATTGGTTAATTTGCAATTGTAAATCCTTTTCAAGGTGAAAATATTGTTTGCTTCCTGATTGTTCCTGTAGATTTTGCTGAGTGTCCTGTCAATGTAGTATTGGACTTATTTTCTACTTTTTTTTCTATCTTTAATAGAATTAAGTTGTGTTGGCACTATCCAAATCATAAAATTCAGGTGTCCCTCAAAGGAGCAAGTGCATCAGGGATTTATTTGTACAGTTGCTGTTGCTGTGTGCATTGAGGATGTTTGCTCAGGGCTGGCTTAATATTACAGCAGTGTGCTTAGGAAATAGTTAAAGATTATTTTTAAATGAAGTGTGATAGGAACAAGATCTTACTTTTGCTGTTTGAGAGATTACTTTTAAGAAATAATGACTTTTGTAAGATCTTCCAGTACCATGAGTAAGTTAAGGGAAGGAAAAGTTAAAAAAAAAACCAAACCTGTATATATATACACACTGAAATGTTTGCTATAGCAATTATTGATATTATTATTAATTAAGGACTGGCACTAATATACTAATAAAAATAAGAACTGGAGTGGGAACTAGAATTTGGAGTTTTTTCCCCACCAGAAATAACAGCTGCTATACAGATTGCTTTTGAAATTCAGGGCAATTTATACCTAAACTGTAAGAGCAGCAACCATAAATGCAACTGAGAAACAGACTGCCCAAAGCAAGTTGTAGTGTAGACTCCCTTGATTAAGCTCACGAAACCTTAAACTGAAGTACTTGGAATATTAGTTTGGCCAAAGTGTGATCAGTTGGGAGTTAAGATGTATCCAGATGGCTTTTTACTACACTGCTATTTAGTTTATTAATTTTTTTTATTGCTGGCTGTAGTTATCTGCACTACATGTGTGTTCTCCATCGTTCCAGAAGGAAGCTGGAGCAGTTTCCTTCAGCAGGGCGTGTGGGTGTAGCTGATAAGACAGTTTCGCTTTGCACTGTGCTCTGGGTGTGTAATGTGGCAGGTTAGGCCCTGTGCCCTGGCTTTCTTGGAGCCGTCAGAAGGCCTTGTGCATTCAAATGTCCTTCTCATCCTTGCACTGTATTTAAAATACCTTCAGCGTACATGTCCAATTTCATACTGTTTAAAAACAGGTTTCTGATGAGCTGGGCCATATTCTTCTTGCTGTCTTGGTGTGAGGGGAATCATTTGCTGGCCTTGGAAGTGGCTAAATCTGTTGTGGAAAGTGTTAGCCTTGATAGTGTGGGCACAAGCTGTTCTGAGCTGTTTGGCTTTGGGATTAGTTTTTCATGGAGGTGTTCACAAAACCAATATAGACGTAATCACTGAGTCTTACTTGAAAAAGTAGTCTGTTTAAACCTGTGAAAGGATGTCAGGAATCTTTTGCTCTTTAAATGAGTTGTAAATATTTTGATACTGAAGCAATTCATTTTTCATGGGTCTTGTACCACTAAATTTAAGTACAGTTTTAATCCTTGGATCTTTTAAATGCACTTAGGGCCATGTGTCATTAGTAGTATTCAAATTAATAAGCCTTCATAGAAATTGTGCAGATATATGCAACTGGGATTTGTAGTGCTTTTTTGTGGGAACTGAACAAGAAGTCCAAATCAGTATCAGAAACTACTATAATAATTTGACAGATTTTTGTACAATCTGAAACACCACACTAAAAAATAAGTTTAATAAGCCTTGTAGATGTAACTTTGTAGCATTCTTCATGTAGGTTCCATATAAGAAATATTTGTGTATTAATAGGTTTTTTTAATTAAGTTTTAGTCAAGTAAGGGATTTTTGTCTTTTAGACAACTAAAGCTTCTCAAATGTAACCTGAGGTTGAAGTTAGTTTCATCGAAAACTTGTAGCAAAATTCCTTGTGATTTTTTTTTTAATAACTGTTGACGTAACATTGACTACAGAAACTGCTGCTAACTAGATTCTAATATAACTGTTATAGAAAATCTGAGAAAATGCTTTCAAAATGCATTGCACCGAGTTGTTTTTAAATCAGTCTCACTTAATGAGTTTTTAGAAATTGAGGGGCTAGTTAAGATGGAGAGGAATGTCTGCCTGATGTAAATATCTTTTTATGCTTTGCCTTCCAGGAAACTCTTATTACCACTGTTCAGTCTAATTCCAGGTATGGTATGACACCTGATGTCAAGCTTGAAGTTCCTTACGATTATGTTTCTGAAGCTTAGAAAGCTGAGTATCTTCCATCTATTGGAAACTTAGATGTCAGAGGATGATGCAAGAAAATTTCTGTTCCACGTGAAGTCCAAGTTGGCATCTGTGTACCACTTTACAAGCATGTTAGCTTACTGTCTAGATTTTTTTTCTCACGTCGATATGTATCAGTATCTACCAAATGGTTTATGTTTATGTTGCACAAGCCTTCATTTCTAGAGGCTATCAGGTGAATAGAAAACACTTGGTGCTCTTGCTGCCTTTTTTTACTCCTCACTTTTAAAACTTGCTACAGCTGTTACATGCAAGGGAAGTAAGAGGACTTAAGTGTCTATAAGAAGGAAAATCTGTGTCATAATGGAGAGGAAGGAAAAACCACTTTGGAAGACCATTGAATCAAACTTTATAAAAGTTATATCTTGCTGACAATTGCCTATTGCTGAAACCTCAGAGGACTGTTCCATGCCCCTCTGGGTGGGGTACCTTGGGTGTGTGAAAGTGTCATGTGATGATGCTGCTTAAATGGTTTTTGAATGAATGATATTATGGGCAGCATGCCATGACTTCAAATGTGTCTAGAGTTCAACTCTTTAGTAAGCAAACTTCTTGTAAGCTCTAGTGCAAAGCCTTAGCAGTGCAAGTTGGGTTTTTTAACATGGCTAGAGTATTACTGGCCAGCCCAGGTGTTCTGTTGCCCTATCTTTGAAGTATTTGTTGGGGCAGGGAGGAAGGACTTAGTCAAGCAGTGACTTTATTTTTTTAAACTTGCTGGTTATCACTTCCTAAACTACTGTTTTGAAAACTTTTTTTCTAGTTCGTGGTCCAACTGGGTGATCCCGGCAATAGTAGCAATCATCGTGGCCCTGATGTATCGTTCCTACATGTCAGAGTAAGCGCCTTACTGAGAACTAATGCAAGAAGAGACTTATCTGGGAGAGAATATAAGCAATCCTAACCCAATGTATTTTCAGACAAAAGCCTGATGTCTAAAGAAAAAAATCAACTTTTTCAGAAACTGAACAATTCTTTTCTGCTGTGCACTTTTCTTAATGTTGCCTTCTTACTTGCTGTTCTGAAGTGATAAAAAGGCAGCATTTCTCCTATTGTATAACAATTTTATTCTCTAATGAATTATTTCATAACTGTGTTGGTTTCTGTGTTAGAATATTGTTTTGTATGTAACACTGCTTCTGGTTATTTCTCTTTGATCTGTAATGGGGCCCATAAGACTCCCTTTACATATAAATTTTACAGCTTTAAATGACTACCAAAACTGTGTACATGTATTTGTCCATGTACACCACTTAACTTAAAAAAGAAAAAAATCATCTTGTCATCTTAAATGTAGTATGTTTGAATGAAGTGCTAATTAAAAATAATGGAAAAACCTGAGTGGAGTAGTGGGTATAGGTGCCTGTAAGCAGCTGGGTCCTACACCACATAGGCTATAACATTCATTTTTAGTTGATTTTTTTTTTTATCCTTTCCTCTTGATATCTGCTCTTAGTTGTTGTGGATACTCCTACTGGTAAACTGTTTTGTTTGACTCCCATTGAAGAATTCAGGCAAAATATAGAACCCAATGTTTGGCTCGACGTCTGTCTCAGTTTTGTGAAAAGCAACTTTTTTTTTTTTCTTCTCTCAAAAAATACCACTATAGGTTATGTAACTGCTACTAAATAATACTGTTCCTGCCAAGCACTCAGGTGACTTGAGAATTTGTTCTGGAACTTTTAGACTTTTTTGTAAGATTCACAACTTTGTCATGTGCATTGTATGAGGGGAAAAACTGATATATGAATTCTGTTTCTGACTGTTCTGTGATGTGCTCCTTGGTGCTTTACTAGGAAGACGTGACTATTTTCACTGCTAAATACAAGATAACTGAAAGTTTGCATTTTGTGGTGAACATTTTTTAGTCATATGTAAATGAAACTGAATAAAAGTTTAATTGCTTACTCTTGCTGGCTCAAATACTTTGATTTCAAACTTCAAGGCCTTGAAAAGGATGCCCTTGCATATGGGGCCATACCTGTTTTATGGTGCATCCTGAAAGTCAAGACATGTCCCTTAAGCAGGGAAGTTGCGTGTAAAAAGTAGGAAGTATACTGTGGAACAGTTAGCATAGGTAAACATTTTCATCAGCATGACCTCAACACCAACTCTAGTGACTTAGTGGTGGTTTGGCCCTGCAAGCTCTGCCTCCCTGACATTCATCAGGACTTGAAACACTATTCCGAGGGCTGCACCAGGGAAGATGCATGTGGTTTAGCCCCTGTGTCACATCAAATCAAATTGAGACATATGTTTACAGTGTACTAAGATTTAAAAGGAAAAAAAGAGAAAAATCCCAAAAACCCCATAAAAAACCAAACAAACCCCAAACAACTAGAGGAGAAGTGCTTCAGGAGATTGTCTTGTGTGTGTAGGAATATGTCAATACAGGAATCCATTATTGAGGGGTTCCTTTTGTGGGAATTCCTTTACTGTTATAACAAATTAGGGTATCTCATATAGCTTCATCTGAGAAAGTATTTACATCTTACATTCTTATTCATGTGTTCTGTGTCAGACTTGATTTACAGATGTATGTGCATTTATAGTAGATCCTATCAACTTCTTTACCTTGGAAATTTTGATCTGCAATATAAATAGCAGTGTTTATTCTGTGCTTGCCCTAGCTTTTCCTCTGAATGTGGTAAAGGTGAGTTAAAAAATGAGGCTTTTCTGACTTCTTACAGACAAACTTTGAGAAGGATGTGTTAACTCTGAGTTGGTATTTAGACTCAAATTTAAGTACCGAATATTCTGATTATTTTAAAAATTACATTGGAATTTACATGCTGGCATGCCCAAGGAATTTCTACAGTGGGAACCAAAAGTGCAGTGAGTGGAGACAAGTAGGCAGTGCTTTGGAAGCTGATACAAGTTAAAACACTAATGCAGGTGAACACACCTCGTTCCCGCTAGTTGCTCTGTTCGTGTTCCCTTCCCCCAGCGCTTGTGTAAGTTGTGCCTCAGTGGTGGACATGACTGTTTCGGGTTTTGAACTGTTATATTTGTAAATCACATAATAATCGGGCTTAAATTTTTTTCTTTTTAATACTCTAAGGTTAGAGCTGCTTTCCATAGAGGGTCATACAGGAGTTTTAATGTTACTTTAGCTTTTGATTATAAATATGAGAGAAAAAAGTATATAGGTGTGAGGAGTGAATGACTGTGCTATTGAAAATCAAATGAATTAAGGATAGTCAATGTTTTTATGGCTTGACAGCAAAAAGAAAAGAACGGGCAGAGTATGCTTTCTTAGAACAAAGTCACAGAATCACAGAACGTTAGGGA